AATAAAATTTTTTTCTTTTTTAATATATATTTTATAATAATATACTAATATAATTATAAAATGATCGTTTTAAAACTTATAAATAACTTTAAAACATCATTTCAATAGGAGCTTTTTTAATGGTTTTGAATGATATTTTTAAAAAACTTGAAATAAATATTTTTAAGGTTAAATAGATAACATATTAATATCTAATATGACTTTCAAGTTATTTTAAGAGAAACGAGAAAATAGTTTTAAAACTAATTTTAAAAACTTATAAATATTAATTAAAGTTCATTTTTTGAGGTTACGTTGTGCACCGGTAGAGCTTTTAATCGTTTTAATGATTTTAATTAACGTATTTACAGTTTTTTGACAGAAAAGTAAGACAAAAATGTATTAAAATGATAAACAGAATCTTCTTTACTTACTAAATAAAATATTTATGAAAAATATTTGATTTTTTTAAGTGCACAAAATAGCCCCATGGAATCCTGGTTTTTCAGTTTTTTCCACTTTTTTCTTAAAATAATGAATAAAAAGTTAGCGCATTACGTATGTATCATCACAACACAATTGAAAACAAATATCTAACACAGTTTATGAGACACATTAAAACTCTAGAAGATCTGGTATAATTTTTCCGAACTTTCAAAATTTTTTAAACAAATTTTCCGTTTTTAGGAATTTTTTTCTCTTAATTGCCAAAGAATTAAATAATAACATTTAGTGCTCTCTATTGTCATGTAATCCAACTTTCATTTAACAAAATAGCAGATTAAAATAATTCATTTTAATAATTTTTTTCATTAAAAAACTCGCGTGCACAAAATAGTCCCCGGATGCACAAAATAGCCCCAGTTGACGGTAATGTAAAAAACTGAATTTACAGTATCAATTTGTTTAAATTTTAGTACAATTTTTAAATCGCCTTTTTGTTTATAAAGAATTGTTCATTTCTGAGGATATTTTGTTCTTTTTAAAGAAATGTGTTGCATCGATTACAAAGTTTTATTTGTTATTTGATCTATTCTTCTTGTATTTTAGACGAAAACAAAGTTACAAGTTATTTCATGCTTTTTTTAAGAATTACTATTGTTTATATTAAATAATCTGAAATTTGGTACATCTACATGAAATGACTTTTACAAAACCACATATGTGTCACTAATTTCTTGATTTGGTATAATAACAATGATAGATTTTAAATTTATATTAAATTTTATTAAAAAAAATTTTTTTTTAAAACAAAAAAATATATTTTATTAATTAAACTTACATTCATGAAATTTTAAATACATTTATAAAGAACGAAAATCTAAACATGCCTTGATGATTTGTGTCGGTTCCGAATATTGCAAAATTTTAAAGAAATAATGTTAATTTTTATTGGCTGACATTGTTTCTTTAATATAAGTTTTGCAGGAAATCATTTAAAAAAAATTATAAACAATAATTAATAAAATTTATGCATACATGGTGCATAAAAAAATGAAAATTTCTGATTTTTTACCCCTATACCCCCCTTTTTATGCGCTGTCGTCCCTTGACAGCTTCGTAGGTTGACTAATAGAAAAACTTCTTAAATAGAGGCAAATTTTAATTAAGCTTTGCTAAATTGTTTTATCGGTAACTTTCCTTTTTAGGAGGATTTTATTGTAAATAAAAATAATTTGCTTTTATTTAATTTTTCTTACAGTGTACGTGATACATTTTATAAGACGAATTTGCTTTCGATAAATGTAAATTAAAGACTTTTTTTCTTTTTTATGAAAAATGATTTTGTTACAAATTTATGTATTTAATTATGTTGTAATATTTAAACATTTCTTTTTTTATTTTAAAATTTTAAATATAATTTGAGTTTTCGAAATTTGAGTTTAATAAAGTGCTGAGATTGCTTTTATTGTTTTATGTGTTATAACTTTGCTTCTTAGACATTGTGTATATTTTGATAATTTATTTCGTTAAAATATTATTTTTAAATTTATCAGGTATAATTTTTAGAGAACGAGAAATAATAAGAAATATATATTTTCCATTTAAATTACATAAAAGTAAATGAGACATTTTAATTGTCTATTCAGACATTTCTTTCAATGTTTATATCCTACTGACCTAGTCACCTGAAGTGTAACCTGATACGGTGTCGCGTAACCAAGTTCGTACACCTAATTTTAAGCATTCTCTCTAAATTTTATTTCAATTTTTTTTATTTTTGTATTTATGATTAGTACTGCGATAGAAGCTTCTAATAAAATCAATTCAAGAATTAATTTTATTTACAATTGAAAATAATAATTGCACATTACAAGTATTAAACCGTGGATCTTAAAAAAAATTAGACTTTGCAAAAATTTCAAATTGAAATCCTTAAAAATCCAAATTTCTGTTATACTTTTCGACGATAACTCTGCAGAATTATTTTTTAAAAAAAATTGAATTATTTAAAAAAAAAATTTTATTTCCATATTTACTTAAAGGACTTTTAATGATTAGAAATTTTTTTTAAAATTTAACTATAAACTCTAGATTTAAGAAAAAAAATCTTGTCTTTTTTTTTAAAATAAGTTTTAAAAGAAGTTACTTTAGAAAAGGTTCGTTGCTAAAATTGAGTAAAATAGAAGATGGAAATGATGAAAGTAATCTGAAAGATTCACAATGGAAATATTTTTGTAATATAGAATAAAAATTCTGTTACTAGGTTGTCTTTAATTATTGTGAGTCATTAAATTTATAAGAGATTCGGACTTAAGACTTTTTTTTTAAATTTCCATTTCTAAAAGAAAATAGTTAAGTAGAGTGGGATAAAAAATTCCAAAAAAATACCATCTGAGTTTTATACCTACAACAGTTATTAAATCGATCTGTAATCCATTTAGCATGTAAATTAAGAAAATTATTTTTTTTTTTACTTATTTCAAGTATTGTGACAAGAAAGAACATTTTTTTATAAGAATGTGACTTATTTTATTTGTTTTTCTTAGTGTGAAAAATAACTTTGAGCAAACTTTACGCCAATTATTTTTGAATCAGTTCTATGATGGTTAAAATTTTTAAATACATCAATAATGTAATGTTTTGTAGAATAAATGAACTTTGTAAAATTTAATTAAACCTGATAATAAATTTTTTGAAAATATGTTTGATATATTTTGTATTTGTACTATAGTTTTTTTTATTATTTATTAAATTGAAAGTAATTTTGATTAAAAATAGAAAACGTTAGTAGGTTGATTTATTCTTTATTATTGTTTTAGTTGCATAGTTATTTTTAGTTTTTTTTTAAATCGATTAGTTCTTTTCTTAGTTAGAGAAGGACAATATTTAATCTAATTTTAAATAATAGTATAGAATATTAGAGTGGGCTTTTTTTATTGTAATTGAGTCATTAGAAAATGTTGTTAATATTAGTAGTTCAATGTTACATTATGAGTTTTGATTAATGTTAATCATATATGTTTACTGTTTTCTTTTTAACTTCGAGAATTGTTTTCTCTATTGCTATTTTGTGTTAAATATTACTTTTAAAATGCTATATGCGGACATTTACATTTTAAAAAAAATTCGAAAGCACAATTTATTAGAGCTTAAATGTCATTTAATTTAATTAGTAAGTCAGTTTGGAATTTCGATGGTTATTTAAGAAAATTATAGTATTCCATATTTTTATAAGAGGGTAAAATAACGGAAGGTGTGGCAATTTTGATTTTAAGAGTTACAATGATCTAGTTTTATCCTTTTTTTGCTTCCTCATAAAGGAAGCCTTATAGTGATGTCGATTTCCGAATTTTTTAGAATCAATTATTTTTACAAATTTTCAAGTGTAGTATATATAATTCGTCGAGAGGAACAAATGTCCGGATGTATGTGTGTATGTATGTGTGTGTGTGTGTGTATGTCACCGATTCTTGTGGACAAATTTTCTCTTACACGTCTTGACGGATTTTGATAAAATTTTGTAGGTGTATTACGGTCATGAATACTAAAAATCAGACAGAAGGATTTTCAAAAATATCTAAAAAAAAAAAATTTTTTCAACAATTTTTTAATTTTTGAAAAAATTAATTTTTGGATTTTTTAAAATAACTTTTTTCTATATTAAAATTTTTATTAATTCTTGTCAAAATTGCATTCCTGACATAAAAACGAATCGATTCATGTATATAAAGTATATATTTTATCAATATTTATAGAATTAATAAATATTTTAGATTTTCATAAAAAAATTGAAATTTTGCATTTTTTGAAATTTTATTTTAATACTTTAAAATAATTATTCTATAATAAAAAAATTGAATAATTAATTTCTTTTCAGGGTACTTTACCCGGTAGAAACTTTCTATTAAAACTATTATGAAAATGACCATAACGTTCACATTTTTTTACCTAGAGAGTTAAAAATTGGCACACGTGTATTTTTACGCGTAGATCACACGAGAAATATAGCTAATGCGATTTATTAATTATATTTAATAAACTATTATAATTATTTAACTTTTAAAATTATATATAATAATATATATTGAGGAAGCTTAATGGTCATGAAATGAACAACTTTTTAATATTATTGTTTTATGAAGTTTAATTCATGCCTATTTATAGAAACAAGCAAATTATTTACAAGTAATTTTATTTATTTTGTTTATTTTTGATACGATGATTGTTTCCTGACAAACGATATTCAATCAAATTTACCTATTTTAACCCATATTTATAAAACATGCATATTTTGTATTTATAAGTATTTACTTGCTTAACTATGTACTTTTCTCAGAATTTAATAAATATGTATGTATCCCTCATAGTATTCATAAAATTCTATTTAAATTCTACATCCCATTTAATCAAATACTATTTATAATAAGCTATAGTGTATTTTTTCCTTGTACTATGTTACTACGTATTGTATGTCATATGTACCCATATTTTGAATTAAATGATTTACCCGTGTTTATTATATAGTTCCTTTATGATATTTAGAGCTAGAGCCACAAAAAAATAAAGCTTTTCTACACTTAACCAATACCTAACCTATTGAAGGGAATTTTTGTTACTACTATTTTTGGTATTTTACTTTGTAGTATTTCATTCTCTTCGAATTTGTAGATAACTTCATTTTTCTCATTTGTGTCGAGTAAAAATGTATCCCAAAAATATTTTTGATGTGTTCTTGATAATTGGTCGTGTATTGAGATATAATATTCTATCATTTCTAAAATTTCTTGATTTAAACTTTTTCCAGATGACAGAATCTTATTTATGATAAATTCTTCTATCTCAGCATAAGTATTTGTTGAAATGATTACATCTGCATTTGACACTTGAACACTAAATTTTTCTTCTTTACTTCCTTCTTCATTTTTGATACTTAATTTTTCTTGAGTTATAGATTTGATTTTACCAGGGGGTTTTCCTTTTCTTAGTTTTGTCATAGAGTTGTCCGAATTCATATGTTCTATTAGTGAATATGAATTATCTATGATTAAGACATTTTCGTTGTTGACCTGTATAATATCTGAAAGTTCTTTATTTTTCTCGATAATTTTTTTGTTAATTTTTTTATCTGATTTTATTTCATTTAGTTTATGGTTAACTTTGAAATTCGAAATATCATTTTCTGGTTGTAAAACTTTGTTAATAGGACAAGCATGGTTGTTTAATTTGTCTTCTTTCTTTGACTCCATTGTAAAGTAGAGTCTTTCCGAATCAGATTTTTGTAAAGTGTCCTCCTTATTTTCTTCATCGTCTTCAAACATTTCATTATCCAAAAATTCTTTCATTTCCTTTTCTTGAAGTTCTTCACTGATGCTGATATCTTCCTCATCATTGGAACTGTCCATAATAGGATTCATGTACTCCACTATTTGTTCTTCTTCCAAAGGCTTTTCTTTACTGTGAATGGATTTTTTGTCGCTGGATTCTTCACTTTCAATTGCAGGTTGTAGTTCATTTATAGAAGGTGATATGTTATGATCCCATTGTTCTGTATCCTTTACAAGGTTTATGTGTGTTAGCGATTCCCTGAATATAACTGGTGGTATTACGAAATCTTCATCCAGTTCTCTATTAAATTTACGTTTGTTTATAAAATAATCTCTTCTATAATAATCATTGTTGAAAGATGGTTCCTGTCGATTACATAATCTTCTATAAATTTTCTGTTGTTCGTTGTATCTTCTGGAATTAGTGTTATAATCTTGAAAATACTGATTTCTGTTATTAAAATTTTCTCTTTCATAGCCCTGTGATGTCATGTCCGTATTTTGCCAATGTTCTTCTAAATCCGTGTTCCTATTTTGGTAATCAAATTCTTTATTGTCATAGATCCTTCTATTAAATTGTTCACTTTGTTGTTGGTTTCTTATTTGCCATTTTTCGCCAATTGGTTCGTAGTAATTATTCTGTGTATTTGGTTCATACATGCTGCATTGGTTATTCGCATCTTGGTAGTTGTATCGATCCTCGTAATCCATGTTATCATCAAAACCTCGTTCATAATCACTTTTTTCCATCCTGTGCACATCTCGCCTAACGTTATAATTATTTTGGTATTGATTTGTTTCGAAATTGTCATTGATCATATACGATTCATCATAGTCATAGCATCTATAGTCTCTATGCTCCTCTCTTTCGTAATCATCCTGTATGTTGTTATATCTTCTACATTCGTCTCTGACATCTTCGTGTTCTTCGTCGGTAAATCTGTGTTGTAAATTTCTGGATTCTGGATCTCTGAAATTATTTTTATGATCCATTGCTTCAAAGCTATATCCCTCCGATTTCCATTTTTCTATGTAGCCTCTCCGTAACATTGCTTCATACACTATACCCATTTTATGATTTAATACGATTTAAACATAAGCAATAAAAAATAATTGATTTGTTTAACTTCTATTTAAATGGAACTGTAATTTAATTTGAAGTTTTTCATTTTTTTTACGTAATGTATTAACACGATTGACCTATATCGGCTCATGTTACCGTATTCGGTTATAGTTTTTACGTTTATATTATTAGACTGCTTTTCGTGTTTTGGCTATCTGCTTTGTGAAAAACCATTAAATCAACAAAAAAAACTGCTTTTTATTATAAAATTGCTTGATACTAATAAATATTTGATCAAAAGAAAAATTTTCCATTTTTTTTTACTGTAATTTGTCAATCCTGGAATTACCTTTTAAATTTAAGTATACATCAAATTAAAAAAAAAATTCTCGACTCTTTTCAAAATAATAATAAACAATTACTATTTAATTAAAATTATGATTCCATAAAGAATTTGACACCACTTTTGATAGAAATAAATTTATGTATATAGTGTTCTCTTTAATGCTTTGCTGATTGTGACCAGCCTTGACTTTGCAATTGTACCCCGTTTGACTCGTCAGCAGTCTTCCTTCCTCAATCTTGGAATTATTTTATATATTATGTAATAACTGAAACTAGTTCTTCAGAGATGTACGTATCTCAATTTTATGCCAAATAATTATTTACCAATATTTAGTAAACATTTTTTTATATAAAAAAATTAGTAATTGATCTTATTTTTATTTTAAACTTGAATATTTATTATTAAAAAGAAAACTTCATTTATTTTTTAAAGTAACAATTTTTTTTTCTTTTAATCTTTATGCTCAGGATGATTTGTTTAAATTAAACTTTATTGAATAATATTTTCACTAAAAAAAATTTTCAATTTTTCTTCTGCTAGGTACTTTTTGCAAACATTCTTCTGTTAATAATCCTTTATTAAACATTTAATAAAAAAAAAATTTTATCAAAGAAATTGAAAAGAAATTCTTATTTTCAATTCTTCTGTAATTTTCAGATAAAAACCGTAACTAATTGTCATAAATCTTCATAATATTTAATCCTCTCACTTGTCCAAGTGGCTACACACTTCCGACAAGGTTGTTTTTTTTATTCGAGGAAATAGTACCGATTTATTAAGGAAACCAGTGCTTGCCGATCGCAAGGATTGTTACCGTGCCCTAGACTCGACGTTAGCGAGTCAAAAAAAAATTTTTAACTACCCGCACTTGTCAAAAACACAAAAATAAATTATTTCTGAAAAGAAAAATAAATACAATGAAATATTTCATAATAAACATAAATTGCACATCATAAATCGATTCAATATTTCTGTTATGCATATTATATGTGTATAAGTGTATAAATATGAAAGTATTTTTTTTAAATTCAATTATTATATTTCACATGATCTTTTTCCTTCATTTTTTTATTTTTTTAAATATAAGAAAGTCATCCCACCGCTGCCACCATTTTTGTTAAGGATGAATTTTGAATACTTTAATTTATTAATCAAAATTCTTATTTTTACAAAAACTAGTTTTAACAATTTGCTAACAAATTAATTAAACACCAAAATTTAAATAAAAATGTCTCAAGGTAAAACGTTATTTGCCCTTCGAAAATAATTTATTTATTTAAAGGTAGTGGATCCTTTCTTAGATTATTATTGTTCAATAATCCTGGATAGACGGTATTTATATTTAAATAAAAGGAATAAAGTAAAAAAGACAGGTGTGAAAAAGTTAATCGTAATAAAACACTACAATATGTGTGTAATGTGATTCTCACAGTTTATTCAACTTTAAATTCTCCAACATTAGAAACAATAATGTGTATCTTATATTTTTACATATATTGACAATTATAGTTATTCCAAATAATTAGCTGTAACTTTTTAGCAATAGTTATTGCACATTTTATATTTAGTTAATGTAAACAGAAAAAGGTTTTTATAGAATTTATTAAATTCTTGTAAAATAGTATTGTGTATGACTCTCAATGTGTGTGTGAATAATAGTAGTTATTTGACAATTTTACTCACCAATAAAAATAACATATTTTATATATTGTTATTACCCTTAGACTTCTGTGTTTTTCCTCAAATAATCCAAGTTATGTCACTTGAAAAATGACACTATTGTCATCAAAATTGCTTATCGCTTATTCTCTCTAATTTCTTTATTAAGAATCTTCTTTGATTTGTTCCAACAATAATAAATTAATAATTTCAAATCAACTTACAATATTCAAACTACAGGGTCACTGCATTTAAATATTTGGTTGATGATATTATTTAATCAATCGATTTTAAGTGCATTAGACGGAGGTTGATATTTCTAATATCAATGAGACTTTAATTATTTTAATTTATTTTTGTTCAATTCAAATTATTTCTTTACTACTTTATTACTACTCAAATCACTTTCTTTCACAGAACTTCAATTCAATATTTAAATCAACTTTTTTTTATTATAAATATTTCACTTCACAATTTATGTCGTATAAATTCACTATAATTATTAAATTCACAAATCAACCCTTCTTTTGGGGATAAAATATAAACCTCCGACTTTGCGGGAAATGCAAAATATAAACTCCACCAATTTTCGGTAGAAACAATATATTACGCAGCCTTACTGCGGGAGGAACAAATTCAGACTCAATCGTTAAATCGATCGAAGTTATGGATCACACCCTGAAATTGCATTAAAATGTTAATAGTGGGGAGACTGTTACACACAGTTCATTAAACTTCTTTGTTGCCAGGCAAGCTTTTCGCAAGCTTGCAAAATCCTAAAGTTGGCTAACACGAGTTCAATGCTCTAAATCCACTATACAGTCGGGTCCCCATACTGTTACATTTTCAGAAATTTCCCACTTCTCCAGACTCAGCTCTGTTATGTGCTCAAATTATGCTTACTGCGCACCTTTCAGGAACGTAAATATATACACCTCAAGTTTGGCCTAGAAGTATATGCACCCTTTTCCTTTGTCTTAAGAATACGGCCCTGAAAATTAGTGACGTAACGTGACGTCACCTAACACTTCTGAATTTGGAGGTTATGCAAAAACATAAAACTACTGAGGACATAACAGTTTGGAATCTAACAGTATGGGGACCCGACTGTACTTTTAATGTGTATGTTGCTTTTCTTGATATTTAAAACAATACATTTAGAGTCTTCCACTGGAAAATAACTCTTTCGAAATATGGGTGTTGTCCATACTTCTTAGCGATTCTTAATTTTAATAAATTAAAATGTCATTTAATATTGTTAGTGCAAAAGAAAATATATCCAAATTACTATTAAGGTAAAATTAAGGATAACAAATAGTAAATTTGTTACTTTTAAATGATAGATAGTTTGAATTGTCTTTGTGTGAATGATTTGTTTGCTATAGTGTACTTAAATCTAATTACAAAATTCCCAATTTTTTAAATGAAGTTATATAATATAAGAATTTTTAATTTATTAAAAAAATTAAAAATAGTTACGAAGTCATACGTAACATACAGTATTGCTGTTTCAGCCATATGGAGTGTAGAACAGCCATATGTATGTGAGAGACAGTAATATTTATGTGAAGAACAGAAATACAGTATTGCTCTTTCATCTATAATACCTTACTATACTCGTATGGCAAAATCGACAATATCATTTTTTTCAGTGTAATTAGAAAGAAAGCAAGTTTATATATAGTAGGCGATACATATATGCACATTCTGTAATTGCCATTGGTGGTCCACGGTTGCATCTGAAGTATAATAGGAATATTATTTTTTACATACGTTATGTTTCTCTGGCCCTTTATAATAGCATAAATTATTTATTTTTTTGTTTTATCCTAAAGAGAGGCAGTTTTTTCATACAGCACGATATTGTCATTTTTGTGTATAGTTGTTGCATTCAGTTATTGATTTTTAACGGTTGGGTTTTTAGAAATGCCGCCAAAAGCAAAACGTGCTAAAAAGTCATACACGCGTGAAATAGAATACCCAAAAAACCCCCGAGTAACAAGTTTCAAGTGAATTTGATCAGATTTAAAAAATAAGTCCGCCATATTGCATCCGCCATTTTGAATTTTTGAAAATGAAGTTCATATTCGTAATCAGCGACCCCAAAAACCCCCGAGTGACAAGTTTCAAGTGAATTCGATGAAATTTTGTACAACTCGTCTTTCATATTGGATCCGCCATTTTGAATTTTTGAAAATGAAGTTTATATTCGTAATCAGCGACCCCAAAAACCCCCGAGTGACAAGTTTCAAGTGAATTCGATGAAATTTTGTAAAACTCGTCCGCCATATTGGATCCGCCATTTTGAATTTTTGAAAATGAAGTTTATATTCGTAATCAGCGACCCCAAAAACTCCCGAGTAACAAAATTCAGGCGAATTCATTGACTTTTGGGCAATTTGACCAATATTGCCCAAAATTTTTAAATTTTACTTTAGATTTGACGCCATATTGGTCCGCCATCTTGAAATTTTTAATTCTACTTTACGGTTCTTGAAAGTGTATAATTTTTATGCACCGATGGTTGAAAATAGAATTTTATTCTTATACTTTTTCAAGGTGAAAAAAAATGTCAAACTTGAAAAAATGAATTTTTCTTTGTGTTTTTTGACATTAAAACCGCCATATTTAATTTTGGTTTGGACGAAATTTATTTTTGACACCGGAATCGGAAAGAGCACATCCAAAACCTTCAGAAAATGTACCTCTGGTTTAAATTGTCAACCGTTTTATTTATAATTACGTAGTTTGAAAATGACCAAAGAATTTTCACGAGTTGGGCGTTAATGGGTTAATTCATTAAAATTATTATGTATGTACTTGGGAGTCTCGAACCCTACCTATTGTAGGAAGAGTAAATAAACTATATAATTCCGGATTCACTGGTTATACACAAACCGCATTGAGTTTGAATCTATCCGGCCAAATTCCGAGCGACAAAAACCTGTCCATAAGCAGACTGTTTCAGATTAGCTGCGGATTCACTGGTTAAACCAATTGGAT